CCCTCTCCTCCAACTGCACCCCACCCCACCCAACCCCCCACACTAATCACAGGTTGCTCTCTCCCGCAAGCCCCCTTACGTGCAGACGGGGCACAAAGTGAGCGGGCTCATGCTGGCCAACCAACCATACGGGCATGCGAAATGACTATCGAGTCGACTGAAAATTCACCCTTTCTGTCTTCCTCTCCGCACCCGCTCCCTCTCCCCACCCGACCCCACCCCACCCCAACCCACCACTCCTTCCCATGCCCCTCCCAGGTGGCTCTCTCCCGCAAGTCGCCCTACGTGCAGACGGGGCACAAAGTGAGTGGGCTCATGCTGGCGAACCACACGGGCATGAGGCACCTGTTTGGGCGCTGTGTGAAGCAGTATGAGAACATGCGCCGCAAATCCGCCTTCCTCGAGCCCTACAAGCAATTCTCCATGTTCTCTGTAAGTGCTGTGTGCTCCTTGCACAGAGATTGGCTATATCTCTCTGTTTGCATGGCCCTCCGTGGTCGGTTTTTTTCTTTTTTCTTTTTCGTTTGTGTGCCTGGAACATTTTTTTGTTTGTGTACGTTTCAGCTCTCGCTTTGCTTCTTGCTCACCTTCTTTTGGATTCTGTGATGTCCTGATACCTGCTGACTCCCAGCACCTCAATAGGGTTGAGAGTCGCTTACAGTACAAAAATATCGTATGAGTGTTTTTTTGCTATTTTCCAAACTTTCACTTCCCACGCATAGGACAACTTGGTGGAGTTTGACGAATCGCACGAGGTTGTTCGGTCAATGATCGACGAGTATCGCATGTGTGAAACATCTGATCCACTCGCTTATGAGTTTGAAGGTGCGGCAGCATAGCGAGGGCGAATGGAAGAAGGCCAGGTGGGGTACTGGGCGTGTTTTCCTGCCTTAGCGTGCAGCAGTGAGCATTGTGACCGCTGCACTACTTGTGCACCGTGTTGATATATGTTCATGGTGAGGTGCTCTTTCAGCAATTGTTTTGTCAGTACGTTTGCTGGCTTGTAAGATTTAGCAGTTTTAGATGTAAGTTTTTTTGTTGTCAAGGCTCTTTTATCTGGTTATACTAGTTGTACGTATGCTGATAATATTGGTAACTGTAAACGAGGCAAGTCCGGCTTTCAAATTGCCCAATGCGGCTCGTGCGGGTAAGCTTCTGCGGAGCTTCGGAGAGTCATCGAAGAAGCTTTTTTGTGAAAGGCGTCCCTGTCGTGTAGTAGGTGGGGGGGAGCTGCCGTCAAGCTGGGTCAGTTCGATTGACGGCCGTGTGGGGCTCTCTAGGTCAATCATTATCGGATCCATGTCAGCATTCCGCCTCTTCTACGGAAGCGGAATCGTGCACCACACGGAGGTGAGCTGGACCGCGTAGAACTAGGGAGGCGACACGTCTTCGTCGGGATTTCTTCGTTGGCCGCTCTGACCGCACACATTATTGCCCACAATAATGCTGCCCGTCGCAGACTGTCCGTCAACAACTTCACTTTCCCGCCACCCTGAGATGAAATTCCGTCAGATCTGGCTGGGTCCAGGGCGGTGCAGTTTTTTTTCTGCCAACTTCCGAGTGACGAGGGCAGTATGCGAGGCGATGATTCACCTGCCGCATCGCCCGTCATCTCTGTTCTCGGTTCCACTCCAAACAGTGCGAAACCGTCTCAGGGAAATCGCCGACGCCGACAGTCTGCAGTCCAGCTAGCGACTCGTCCAGGCTGCCACCTGACGGTCGCTCGGCGATTGTCGTGCCTCCTTTTATTCGCTCGGCGATCCTCTTGGGTTCTGTTCTGTCCCACCTCCTCCCACCTGTGGGTGGGATCTCTGCTCTGCTACACCGTCGCCGATGCCTACGAGGCGATTGTCGCAAATGCTCGCGAGGGCGACTCTTTCGGTGGCATGTGCTTGGCAGAGCTGGGCCGAATGCCGAGTGCGATGCCGTCGCCGTGTTGTTCGCTAGTCGTCTCCCTTGCGTTTTGTCCTCCTCGGTCCCCTCCTGCGACTGCGACTGGGTAAGAACAGTGCAGCTGGAGAGCTAGGGCTAGAATAGATTCTCACTCTCCCGAGTCCCGGACCCAACACATCTCCAACAGCTGCAGCAGAGCAGAGAGTCTCAACTCAAACTCCGTTCCCGCATTTCCAACCTACACTGTTTGGCAGAGCCTAGGGTTCATGATTCATGAACTAAAGGCGTGAGAGGTTCTTATTCCCCTTACCACTACTACAGCTGTTACCAGGACGTATTTATTTATTAGGTCTCCGATAGTGTGGTAAGACCACTTTAATTATAGAGCTTCATTGAGGGAGCACCAGAAGTACCAGAAGGTAGCGCTACGAACCTGCTTCAAGGGATAGAGAAGTTGTGGTCTTCTTAGTACAGAAACATTTTAAGAAATCGGGGTTTTGAGGTTCAGCGATGGTCCGCTTCCCGTTTGACCTAGATTGCGGATGGGTACTGCATCAGCGTACAGGACGGCTAGAGGATGCTTACACCTTAGAGAAGGAGCTGGGTCGTGGACATTTCGGGATTGTCAAGCTTTGCAGAAAACGTTCCGGAGGCGGACAATACGCATGCAAGTCGATTGACAAGTCTAAACTCTCGCACTGGTTAGTTCCTATTCCCACGCCTTCTGGCTATTTTTGTTTATGCTTATTCACAAATGGAACAGCAACATCGTGTTGCTCTTGCGCGGTCGTTAACTAGCAGTGCTGACTCAACTCCTTGGTTGTTCGCTTGCTTGCTTCTTCTTTTCTTCAGGGAGGATAAGGAAGATGTTCGCAGAGAAATCGAGATTATGCGGAGACTTTCCGGCAACCCGTACACGCTGAACCTGGATGACGTTTTCGAGGACGATAGCTTCGTCCATCTAATCATGGAGCTCTGCGAGGGTGGTGATTTATTCGACGACATCAGCAGCCATGGCTTCATGACAGAAGCACAAGCAGCAGCAGTCTTCGAGGAGGTTGTGCTTGCCGTTATGCATTGCCATGAGCAAGGCGTTCTACACCGCGACTTAAAACCGGAAAATATCCTTCTTGTACAGAGTTCTGGCGTTAGGACAGCAGCGGGAACAGATGACTGCAAGTCTCCTTCAAAATCCTTTTCAGTGACGCCGAGGGTCAAGCTTACTGATTTCGGGCTTTCGCTGTTCGTGGACGCTCACAAGCAGGTTTACGGCGTCGCTGGAAGCCCTTTCTACCTCGCTCCAGAAGTTCTTTTCGGAAATTACGGCCACGAAGCAGACATCTGGTCTCTTGGTGTCATGTTGTACATGCTTCTCTCGGGTTCAGCTCCGTTCTTCGGGGAATCGGAGGACGAGGTCCTCGCAGCCGTCAGGCGCGGAAAGTTTTCGTTTTACCGGCCGATTTGGGGGTCGATTTCGCCGTTCGCGAAAGACCTGATTCGGTGCCTGCTCAGGCAGGATCCGGCTAAGAGACCGACTGCTAGCGACATACTTCAGCATCCGTGGTTCACTGAGGTGTTCCGATCACAGCAGCAGCAACAACAACAGCAGCAGCAGCAGCCAGCGCAGGAGCTGCAGAACGCGCGGTCCGAACAGGTGGTAGATAGCTTAGATAGCGATACATCGATCGACAACTCAATCCAATCCATGTGTACAGGCGCAAGTCACTCTTCCCCAAGTCCCGCCATGCAATCGCACTCGCATCTCCCCAGCTCACCCGTCTCTCATCTCCAATGCTCAGCCGAGTTCAGCCCTGTTGTTTCCAGGAAACTACCCCACGCTTCCCCGCAAACCCCGCCGCGGTTGGAGCTTGAGACCCATTCCAGCTTGTTGTGTGCGAGCTCACGGCTAAGCCTCGCATCGACTCTCGCCTCCGCTTCGGTGGAAGAAGGGTCGGTAGAAGCAGACGGAGTTAGATCGGATCAGATTGACGGGTCGGAATCAGTCGCAGGGGAAGCAGCAGCAGCGGCGGATGTCCAAGGGGGGACTTTAAATGTGGCTCCTTCGCTGTGGGGTTTGTTTGGAGGGTACAGCCCGATGGTTAAGCCGGACGAGATCGATGCTGCAGATTTGGTAGCTTCGGAAGGGTCGTTGGCGCAAACGCCGCAGCTGCTCTCCTGCAGCGTGTGGGCTCGGAGTCAGTCCACCGACGCTGTCGAAATCGACTGGGTGTTCGGATTCTGAAGAAATCTGACAAAGCGTCATCTCTCAAGATTACCGGTACATTTTACGGAATGGGTGGTGCATGGCGAAATTGCACATACGCAGCAGCAAACGCAGCTGCAGCCAATCATACAGCCTATAATGCAACAGCAGCATACAGCCCGCATCAGATAATCAGTTGGCCAAGAAGACCACCAGTGCCGCAGACAGGCACGAATCCTGTGCTGCGAAAGGCCCAACAGGCGTTTAACTTATATAGCGTGACAACTCGTGTGTACTCTATGGGGGTGGAGGTTTTGTCAACATGGTCTCAGGTTCACATGTGCTGTAGGTCAAGTGCTAACAGCAGGAGCTTACCCACAAGAGGGAGAGCCTCTGTAGTATTTATGGCGCTGGAGTAGCTTGTGTTATTTTCCATAGTTGTCATTCAATGTATGCCTAAATTATGTGATAGTAAAGGAAATATCTGGCATGCTGTTCTGGAAAGAATGAGGCATGACATTACCTAGGAAGAATCCTCATTAGTGTGAACTAGTGTGCTTTAGGTTGACATGACACGTTTGAACCACTTCACTGTGTCATTTGCCATTGCTGCTGAGAATGCTGTAGGACTGACATACCAACAACATTTTGAGGTGGATGCCTGCGTAGGGGTCACTTCAAGCTAAGAGCTATGCTTCTAGAGTACACATTTCCCTTGAAATATGAAGGAAAACAAACAGATACTGTACATGTTGAATAGTGTACCACAGGCATTGAGAGAGACAGAGTGATCTCTCTTGGGTCGCATCACCCACTCCACCTACGGTATCTCGTTCCCAACTAATGCTGCAACCCTTCCACCACCTATTGCTTTCCCTTCTACCATACACTCTTAGAAGGAACCTCAAAGCAGGTTGCCCTTGCTCCCATAGGCACCCGAGGAAGGAGCTGCAGCAGCAGCACCATCAGCACCATCAGCAGCAGCACCATTAGCACCATCAGCACCACTAGCAGCAGCACCAGTAGCTGTCTGCTTCTCGCCTCTTTGAAACCACCCCAGAAGGCCCCTACCCTGGCTGCTTCCCTCACCATTCCGACCGTTCTCACCCCCACCCGTTCCCCCCTCCAACCCCTTCCCCTTTCCTCCACCCTTCCCCCCCTTCCCCTTGCCTCCCCCCTTGTTGACGAACGCGAATCGGTTGCGGTAGAAGCACCGCACGCCGCGAAACCAGTCCAGCCCGCCGGTTTCTTCCAATGCTGCCACTCTCACAGCCAGCACCAGCTCCCTCAAAAGCATCTGATCCGCCTGGGCGCTGCAGGGATGGGGACGAGAAGAAAGATAAAACGGAAAGAGGTTGAAGCACTGGCAGCACCAGCACCGTTACCAGTCCAGCCCGCCGGTTTCTTCCAGTGCTGCCACCCGCACCGCCAGCACCAGCTTCCTTAAAAGCATCTGATCCGCCTGGGCGCTGCAGAGGCGAAGGGAGAAAGGAGGGATTGGGAGGAGTGAGCACAAGCACCGCACACCACGGAACCAGTCCAGGCCGCCTGGCTCTTCTAACGCTGCCACCCTCACCACCAGCACCAGCTCCCTTAAAAGCATCTGATCCGCCTGGGCGCTGCAGAGGCGAAGGGAGAAAGGAGGGATTGAGAGGAGTGAGCACAAGCACCGCACACCACGGAACCAGTCCAGCCCGCCTGGCTCTTCTAACGCTGCCACTCTCACCGCCAGCACCAGCTCCCTTAAAAGCATCTGATCCGCCTGGGCGCTGCAGCGGGAAAGGGAGAAAGGAGGGATTGGGAGGAGTGAGCACAAGCACCGCACACCACGGAACCAGTCCAGCCCGCCTGGATCTTCTAACGCTGCCACCCGCACCAGCTCCCTTAGAGGAATCTGATCCGCCTGGGTGCTGCAGCGGGGAAGGGAGAAAGGAGGCAGAGATGAGGGTGTGTGGATGGGGGGATGGGGGAGATGGGTGGTGGGTAAAAGCACCGCACACCGCGGAACCCGTACATCCCGCCGGTCTCTTCTAACACTGCCACCCGCACCAACTCCCTCAGCAGCAGCTGATCAGCCTGAGGCGAAGGGAGAAAGGAGGCAGAGATGAGGGTGTGTGGATGGGGGAGAGGGGAGATGAGTGGTGGGTAAGCACCGCATGCAGTGGAACCAGTCCTGCAGGCTGCATTTTTTGAGTCAACTCAAAAACAAGGAGAGGGGAGATGAGTGGTGGGCAGAAGCACCGCATGTGATGAAAGTAATGTTTTGAGACGTCTCAAAGCACCGCATGCAGTGGAACCAGTCCAGTCAGAGCTGGTGAGCCTACTTTTGAGGCGCCTCAAAAGTTTACCTTTTCATACGCTGCTGCTCGCTGGAGATGTCTCAGAATCAGCAGCACGTACCAGTCAGAGCTGGTGAGCCAGCTGAGGATGTCCGGGATGCACTCGGACTGCAGCAGCAGGCGGCGCCGAGTTGAGTGGAATCAGCCCAACGTGAACAGGTGCGTTGTACATACCCCCATCACAGCAGCACGTACCAGTCAGAGCTGGTGAGCCAGCTGAGGATGTCCGGGATGCACTCAGACTGCAAGAGCAGGCGCAGGGAGCCCTCCTGTTTGGTCTTCTCAGCGCGCACGAGCACGGAGAGGTGGCGCTGGAAGGTGAGAGTCAGCTCCGCCATGTTCATCCTCGCCTCCACGTACTCCACTCCGCCTCCCTCTCCCCCTCCTGCTTCTCCTCCTCCCTCTCCTTCTCCCCCCCTCCCCCCTGCTTCTCCTTCCACTCCTCCCTCCCCTTCTCTTTGAACCTCGATCCCTCCTCCCTCCGCGCCATCACCACCCAGCCTCTCAAATTTCTCCCCACCCCCAGCACCCTCGCCGCCTGCCTGTGCCCACGACACCAGCCCATGCACCTTGATACTGTCCGTCCTCGCTTGCCCCATCCCTCCATTCTCCATGTCTCCTCCTCCTCCTGCCCCTACTCCTGTCCCCCCACCTGGCCCTCCCTCCCCTCCTGCTCCTGCCCCTTCTACTGCTCCTCCTCCACCTTGCAGCGCCCATGAGAGGGGGGACTTCCCTCCTCCTCCCTCCACGTCTGTTCCAGGACCCGACACACGAGACAGAGGGGATGCACCCGGCCCTCCTGCTGCTACTGGCGCAAGAGGTGACATGCCATGCAACTCCAGCAAGGGCGACGACGACACCCCGTGTATGGGCGACCCACCAGCAGCACCACCAGAAGCACCACCACCACCAGCAGCACCAGAAGCACCAGCAGCACCAGCAGCACCAGCAGCACCAGCAGCACCAGCAGCACCAGCAGCACCAGCAGCACCAGCAGCACCAGCAGCACCAGCAGCACCAGCAGCACCGTGCATGGCATGCACCGTGCTGGAAGGCAGAGCACCGTTCGCTCCTGAGAGTGGGGACATCCCATGTATGGGTGACATGCCAGAAAGCGGGGACATTGCGAGACCAGCCCCACCCGGAGTCCCTGTTGCAGCCCCACCAGGGGCGAATGGAGACATGCTAGGTGAAGAACCAGCAGCGGCAGCAGCAGCAGCAGCGGCGGCGGCAGCAGCAGAGGCGGCGTTGCGGCCGGAGGCGCTGCCGTCAAAGTCCCTGCTGCTGCCGTACGACGCCCAGCTCACATGCCTCTCGATGCGAGGTGCCCATGGCGCTGCTGACAGCAGCTGCGCTGTTGTTGCTGCTGCTCCTGCTCCTGTTCCTTCTCCTGCTCCTCCTCCCTCCCCTCCCACCCCACCAGGCGCTGTCAAAAGCTGCCTTCCCTCTCCCCCTCTCTCTCCCCCTCCCTCTCCGCCTCCCCCCCCCACTCCATCCCCACCTCCTCGCATCCCTCCTGCTCGCGCCACAAAGCAGCACTCCTCCCCAGCAGCATGCCACGTCCCATGCTCCCTACAAAACGTCCCCCTCCTGGGAACCCTAGCAATCGTGATATGCCCCGCACTAGCCCCCAATAAAGCCTGACTCAATACCGCGTATAACTGCGGCTTGTTCAAATGACTCACCCAATCGACCGGCGCCATTCCCGCTAGCTTACACGTCTGCACTCGGTCGCGGACTTTTAGCAAGAGTTTCCGCTCATGCGCGCGCTTAGCTAAGAGCAGCGGGAAGACGACGTGCGGGCGAAACCACGCGGAAATCTCCTGCGGCGGGACTAAGTCATACGGGTCCATTTTATCATACTTGGCCTTGTTTCTCCTCCGCTCGCCCTTCCACACTCGGTTCAACAGCTGCCGATTCACAATTTCTAAGTCCTTGTTTATTGCTTCGAAGACGAGGGAAAAGGCAGCAGGAGCGAGGATGAGGAGGGAGGAGAGGGCGAAGACGGCTTGCGAGAAGGCGGGGAGTTTGATGTAGTTGAAGCAGAGCAGGCCGAGGGTGAAGAAGAAGTGGCCCAGCGAGAGGAAGGCCTGGAGATAATCTAGGGAAAGGGAGGCGAGCGGCGACGACTTGTACTGTGAGCCTATCCTCAGTGCTTGGAGCAGGAGGATTATCACGATCTGCCAAAGGGGACGGGAGACAGGAGAAAGGGCAGTGGGGAAGGCATGAGGGAGGCAGGACAAGGCGAAGGGTGGTTGTGAGAAGGCGGGGAGGGAGCTTGATGTAGTTGAAGCAGAGCAGGCCGAGGGTGAAGAAGAAGTGGCCCAGGGAGAGGAAGGCCTGCAGGTAGTCTAGGGAGAGCGAGGCGAGTGGGGAGGACTTGTACTGTGAGCCGATCCTCAGCGCCTGGAGCAGCAGGATTATCACAATGTGTGGGGAGTGGGGGGGAGGTGAAGAGGGGGAGCGAGAGCAAAGGAATTGATTAGAGTGTGACTGTGAAAGCGTACAAACTATGGGAGTGAAAGCGACTGACTCATTGTGCAACAACGATGCCGTTACAGTTCACATGTGCATGCCCACCTGTCTGCTCCGTCCACCTGTCTGCTCCGCCCACCTGTCTGCTCCGCCCACATCAATCTTCTCACCTGCGCGCGAGTGTCTTGCTGCAGGAACACGAGAACTAGGGCGTGAACCAGCCGAAGCCCCATTGTTACAAGATGCCACCTGCAGCGGTGGGGCGAGAGACAGGAAGACACAGGGAGGGGAGGAGAGCGTTGAGTTGGTTCGTTCGGAGTGACTTGCTGCAGGAACACGAGTACAAGAGTATGTACCAGCCGCAGCACCATCCTCATTAGGTGCCACCTGGAGTGGCAGGGGAAGAGACAGAGAGGAGGAGAGTGTTGAGTCGATTCAAGTGTCTTGCAGCACACGAGCACAGCACACGACTGTGCCCTTAGCAGCAATATCCAGTCGCCAAAAAAGGAAAAGATGTCTCGCTGCAGAACGCCCACCAGAGTGGCTTTTGCAGCCCAGGTGACTTTTGATTGAGTCGGCTCAAGAGTCACTTTGAGTCGACTCAAAAAGAAATGTCTCGCTGCAGATCGCCCACCAGAGTGGCTTTTGCAACCCAGGTGACTTTTGATTGAGTCGACTCAAAAGTCACTTTGAGTCGACTCAAAAAGAAATGTCTCGCTGCAGATCGCCAACCAGAGTGGCTTTTGCAGCCCAGGTGACTTTTGATTGAGTCGACTCAAAAGTCACTTTGAGTCGACTCAAAAAGAAATGTCTCGCTGCAGATCGCCCACCAGAGTGGCTTTTGCAGCCCAGGTGACTTTTGATTGAGTCGACTCAAAAGTCACTTGAGTCGACTCAAAAAGAAATGTCTCGCTGCAGATCGCCCACCAGAGTGGCTTTTGCAGCCCAGGTGACTTTTGATTGAGTCGACTCAAAAGTCACTTGAGTCGACTCAAAAAGAAATGTCTCGCTGCAGATCGCCCACCAGAGTGGCTTTTGCAGCCCAGGTGACTTTTGATTGAGTCGACTCAAAAGTCACTTTGAGTCGACTCAAAAAGAAATGTCTCGCTGCAGATCGCCCACCTGAGTGGCTTTTGCAGCCCACTTTTGATTGAGTCGACTCAAAAGTCACTTTGAGTCGACTCAAAAAGAAATGTCTCGCTGCAGATCGCCCACCTGAGTGGCTTTTGCAGCCCACCTGCCTAAACGCGACAAAGCCCTTCAACAACTTTTGAGGCGCCTCAAAAGTTTGCAGCCCACCTGCCTACCCGCAACAAGGCCCTTCAACAATCCCTCCCAGGTCTCCAAACGGCTCCACTCACCACAAGTCCCTTCCGTGAGCCACCCGAACCTCTGGCGGAAGAGGTTAGAGGAGAGGGCGTCAGAGGCGTGCCCTTCCCAGCCCACTATAACCGATACCCTACAGTCGATCAGAACAGCACCACCACTTTAAATCCCTACTCACCACCAGAATTCGCGCTTGTATCGTTCCGTGAGCCACCCGAACCTCTGGCGGAAGAGGTTAGAGGAGAGGGCGTCAGAGGCGTGCCCTTCCCAGCCCACTATTACCGATACCCTACAGTTGATCAGAACAGCACCACCACTTTAAATCCCTACTCACCACCAGAATTCGCGCTTGTATCGTTCCGTGAGCCACCCGAACCTCTGGCGGAAGAGGTTAGAGGAGAGGGCGTCAGAGGCGTGCCCTTCCCAGCCCACTATTACCGATACCCTACAGTCGATCAGAACAGCACCACCACTTTAAATCCCTACTCACCACCAGAATTCGCGCTTGTATCGTTCCGTGAGCCACCCGAATCGCTGGCGGAAGAGGTTGGAAGAGAGGGCGTCGGAGGCGTGCGCGTCGAGCAACAGGAAGGCGAAGAAGAGCGGGAGGCCGAGGAGGTAGATGATAGAGACGAGCAGCGACACGGTGAACATGCCGATGTGCGCCGATGAGAACCATGCTATCTGTGGTGCTGCTGCCATCAGCACCGCATCCCCCACTGTCATTGACTGGGGGAGGGGGGAGGGGAGGAAGAAGGGGAGGAAGGGGGGAAGAAGGGGGAAGATGCCGATGTGGGCTGATGAGAACCATGCGATCTGCGGCGCTGCTGCCATGCAGTCAATGCAGTCAATGCAGTCAATGCAGTCAACACAGAGCCTGATATTACCTTGTAGAGCATGCGGACCATAACTGAGACTTAGCAGAGATCGAGCCACTTGAGCGATCAATGGGGTCAATGGGGTCAATGGGGTCAATGGGGTCAATGGGGTCAATGGGGTCAATGGGGGCAATGGGGTCAATGGGGGCAATGTGGTCGATGGGGTCAATGGGGTCAATGGGGTCAATGGGGTCAATGGGGTCAATGGGGTCAATGGGGGCAATGGGGTCAATGGGGTCAATGGGGTCAATGGGGTCAATGGGGTCAATGGGGTCAATGGGGTCAATGGGGTCAATGGGGGCAATGGGGTCAATGGGGGCAATGTGGTCAATGGGGTCAATGGGGTCAATGGGGTCAATGGGGGCAATGTGGTCAATGGGGTCAATGGGGTCAATGGGGTCAATGGGGGCAATGTGGTCAATGGGGTCAATGGGGTCAATGGGGTCAATGGGGGCAATGTGGTCAATGGGGTCAATGGGGTCAATGGGGTCAATGGGGGCAATGGGGTCAACTTGGTTTAAGCAATTGAAGCATTACCTTGTACACGGACGGACAGCACGCGGACCATCACCGAGGCGCAGCAGGCGTGAATGCGGTCAATGCAGTCCATGAGATGAGAACGATAGGATCGTGATATTACCTTGTACACGGAGAGCATTCTATGCAGTCGATAGGGATCGTGGCATTACCTTGTATACCGACAGCACGCGGACTTTTGAGTCGACTCAAAAGATAGGATCGTGATATTACCTTGTACACGGATAGCACGCGGACCATCACGTGGTGCCGCCCCACCAGCAGCTTATCAGTGTGGATGGTCAAAGCAGTCATGCATTCCATGCAGTCGATAGGGATCGAAGCATCACCTTGTACACGGACAGCACACGGACCATCAATGCAGTCAGTGCAGTCAACATGATTCATACGGTCATTGTGAATCGTCTCACCTTGTACACAGACAGAACGCGGACCATCACCGAGACGTAGCAGAGATCGAGCCACTTGAGCGACGCGTGCACGATCGAGTTCTCATACTCGTTATAAGCTCTCCGCCTTGTCACCGAGCGCATGAGGCGCGCCTGCGGGTTGGGCCCGCGGGTCCACGAGTAGATGTGCGACCAGGTCGTGCCGCCCCACCAGCGGTGCCGCGCGTACAGCAGCGCGTAAACGAAGAGGCCTATAACGGGGATGAAGATGCCCAGGTAAAACTTGGAGATGAATGTGTAGTTGAATATGCACTGCGGGCCTATGGCGTCCTGTTGGGGGGTGAGGGAGGGGGGAGGGAAGGTGGGGGTGGAGGAAGCATGTGGTGCACCAGGTAGGGATTATCCTCACGTAGGGAGGGATGAAGATGCCCAGGTAGAACTTGGAGACGAAGGTGTAGTTGAATATGCACTGCGGGCCGATGGCGTCCTGTTGGTGGGGGGAGGGGGGGGAGTGGGAACGAAGGGGAGGAAGGGGAAGGAGGCTTGGCTCTTGATATGCCTCCAAAAGGTGTAGTTGAATATGCACTGCGGGCGGATGGCGTCCTGTTGAAAGGGGGGGAAGGGGGGGGGAGGGGGAGGGGGAAAGGAGGGTGTGGGGTTGGGCTATGGCGCCACAAGTAGAGCACGTGGTGCCAGCCAGGGGAGGAGGGATGAAGATGCCCAGGTAGAACTTGGAGATGCAGGTGTAGTTGAATATGCACTGCGGGCCGATGGCGTCCTGTTGGTGAGGGGGGGGGGGAGAGGGGGATGGAGTGTAAGGAGAGGGAAGCTGAGGTGGAGTTTGAGGTTGAAGGAGGCAATCATGACTTGCAGCTGCACATCTGACAAGCGCAACCAAACCACACAGAACCGCACTGAACCACACGCCGGAGCATCCCACCCCACCACACCGCACTGCACACCTCCTTACCGGGTCAAAAACCGCGAAGTTGTAGATTTTCACGAGAGTCTGCACCCATCGATCGGGGTAGTTGAGGTTGAAAGAGGCGATCATGACCAGCAGCTGGAGATCGTTGAGAAAGATGTCCATGCTGCTGAATGTGTCGGCGAGAATGTTCATTCCCATCCATGCTAGGATGACCAGGATGAGCAGCAGGGGGAACACCTGGGGGGGAGGTGGGAAGGGAGGGGAGAGCAGCAAGGAAGAAAGGAGTTTGAAGGAGGCGACCATGACCAGCAGCTGGCGCCTGGAGATCGTTGAGAAAGATGTCCATGCTGCTGAATGTGTGGGCGAGAATGTTCATTCCCATCCATGCCAGGATTACCAGGATTAGGAGCAGCGGGAAGACCTGGAGGGAGGAGAGGATAAATGTGAGAAGGGAGCGGGAGGGAGTGGTGGAGAACGAGAGTCATGAGTGACATGGAAAAAAAATGAAAGCGAGGCTGTGATTTCCTAGATAGAGCACACACTTACCTTTTGAGACGTCTCACAAGTCGTTTCCTACATAGAGCGTGGAGTGGACTCACTCTTGTGAGAGTGCTGCTGCACTGAGTGCACTGCTGCAGCACGAGGAAATATCCTTCCACACACCCCGCACACGTGCTGTTGTGGGGGTTGGGTTAAGAGTACAAAGAGAGGAGTGACAGAGAGGGTGTGAAGAAGTAGAAAGAATGAGAGGGCAGGTGGGCAAAACACTGAGTGCACTGCTGCAGCACGAGGAGGTAGCCTTCCACCCACCCCGCCCGCACACGTGCTGCAGGGTTGAAACGAGTGGCAGAGAGGGGTGTGGAGAACGAGAGGGACGGGGAGGGTACAACACTGAGTGCACTGCTACAGCACAAGGAACTAGCCTTCCACCAAGAGGTGATTTTTTAGGCGCCTCAAGAAAGGAACTAGCCTTCCACCAAGAGGTGATTTTTTAGGCGCCTCAAGAAAGGAACTAGCCTTCCACCAAGAGGTGATTTTTTAGGCGCCTCAAGAAAGGAACTAGCCTTCCACCAAGAGAACAGGGGAAAGAGTGATTACAGAGAGGGTGTCGAGAGGGCAAGGCAAGCAGTGAAAGGGTTGAACGGGTGAGGGTTTGAGAGGGTGAGAGGGTGAGAGGGTTGACGCCCCTCAAAAGGAGAGGGGAGAAAGAGGGGAGTGATTGCAACGGTGGAAAGTTGAAAGCCACTGTGTGCCTGCTCTGCCCTACACTCTCAGGCATTACCCCCAGTAGCAACCCTGATAAAAAATTCCATTCCCATCCCACAGTGCACCCATCAGCTGCAGCGGCACTCACGGAATGCTCTCGTCGTAGCCCTGCTGGCACTGCACCATCACGCCCTGAGCAGTGGTCTGCCCCCACTGCAGGGCTGCACCCAGCAGCAGCACTCACGGCATTCTCATCCCACATTGCACCCAGCACCCCAGCAGCAGCACTAACAGTATTCCCATCCCACAATGCACCCAGTACCCCTAAGAAGTACTCACGGGATGGACACGTCGTAGCCCTGCTGGCATTGAATCATCGCTCCCTGAGCGGTCGTCTGCCCCCACTGCTCGTTGTACTCGTACCCCTCACACCCATCCGCCACCAGACAGCTATACGTCGTCGGTGTATTATTCAGCGACTGCAGGTCCAGCCAGCTCTGGTCTCATACCCCACCCTGACCTCCCTCTCTCTCCAGCCTCCCCCTTGCACTACCCTCTGCCCTCTGCCCTACACACCCAGGCACTCACGGGATGGACTCGTCGTAGCCCTGCTGGCACTGCACCATGACGCCCTGAGGGGTGGTCTGCCCCCACTGCTGGTTGTACTCATACCCCTCACACCCATCCGCCACCAGACAGCTGTACGTGGTAGGGGTGTTATTCAGCGACTGCAGGTCCAGCCAGCTCTGGTACCCCACGGTGAGAATGCCGTAGGTGCAGTCTATATTTTCGTCATCGCACGCAGTGCAGGCGGCGGGGGTGGTGGCTCGCGGGTAGAAAGAGAAGAAGCCGTCTGGGCAGGGCTGCATGGGCTGTCCTGCCTCGCACCTGGGGGTGGAAGGGGGGAAGGAGAAGGGATGGAGGAGAAGGGGAGGAGGAGAAGGGGGGGAGGAGAAAGGGGAAAGGTAGGAGAAGCACTGAGCAGGGCGTATAAATGAAGGTCCAGCCAGCTCTGGTACCCCACGGTGAGAATGCCGTAGGTGCAGTCTAGGTTGTCATTGGTGCAGGGAGTGCATTGGGAGGGGGTGGTGGCGCGCGGGTAGAAGGAGAAGAAGCCGTCCGGACAGGGCTGCCCCGCCTCGCACCTGGGGGGAAGGAGGGTGGGGGAGGAGAAGGGAGGGGAGGAGAAGGGAGGGGAGGAGAAGGGAGGGGAGGAGAAGGGAGGGGAGGAGAAGGGAGGGGAGGAGAAGCACTGTTCAGCGACTCAAGTTCCAGCCAGCTCAGATACCCCACGGTGAGGATGCCGTAGGAGCAATCGAGGTTGTCGTCGGTGCAGGCGGTGCATTGGGAGGGGGTGGTGGCTCGCGGGTAGAAGGAGAAGAAACCGTCTGGACAGGGCTGCATGGGTTGTCCGGCCTCACACCTGGGGGAGTGGAGGGCGGGGAGGAGAAGGAAGAAGACAAAGAAAGCAGGGGAATGGAGGAGAAGAAGCAGTCGGAGGGGGTGGTGGCTCGCGGGTAGAAGGAGAAGAAACCATCAGGGCAGGGCTGCATGGGCTGCCCCGCCCCGCGCCTGAGGGAAGAAGGGGAGGAGGGAGGGGGAGAATGGAGTAGGAAAAAGAGGGATACAGAGAAAGGAGCGGAGTGACGGAGACATAAGGGATGATGCATGAGAGCAGTCTTGATTCAAGACCAAGGGAAGAGACCACCCCTGCCACCACCCCTGCCACCACCCCTGCCACCACCCCTGCCACCACCCCCAACTATCACCAACCCAAACTCTTCAACTCACCAGTGGCCAACCAAGCAGTTTTGACAGGTGAGCGAGGTGGCATTGAGGAACTCGCCCGCGGAGCAGAAGGAGATGTTGAAGGCACGGGTGACGGGGGGGAAGGCGTTGGCAGGCGAGGAGAGGGTCACTGTGACCTCGAACGACTGGGCTTCCTCCGGTGTGACCTGGATGGGAGCATGAGCGGGAAGATAATTACAGGCAAGAGGAAGAGAGATAGAGAGATCGAGGGGAAGGCATTGGCGGACAAAGAGAGGGTCACTGTGACCTCGAACGACTGGGCTTCCTCCGGTGTGACCTGGATGGGAGCATGAGCGGGAAGATAATTACAGGCAAGAGGAAGAGAGATAGAGAGATCGAGGGGAAGGCATTGGCGGACAAAGAGAGGGTCACTGTGACCTCGAACGACTGGGCTTCCTCTCGTGTGACCTGGATGGTTGATAGAGGAAAGACGGGAGAGAGGAGGCGGATGCAGGAGAAAATGGGAAAGCAGAAGAGTGAACAGATGACTGAGGTTACAGTGAGCGTCACAGGAGCGCCACAGTGACCTCACTCTCCCTCTTGCACTTAGCCCCTTTGTCCACCACCCACCTGGATACCAATGGACGGGAGGTGATGACGCCATTCACATCAGTGCCCCTCAAATCACCGCTGATGCGGCTGTCAGGCGAGACGGCAGCCAGCGACGTGCTGTCCTGAGCCCGTCCAGCACAAGCACCTGCAGCCCAGGCTACCTCCCTTCCCTTCCAACACTGCGCCTACACTCCCCTCTCTCTCCCTCTTGCACTTACCTCCTTCTTTCACGCACCTGGTTACCAATCCCCCTTGCACGCACCTGGATACCGATGGAGGGGATGGTGATGACGCCATTCACATCAGTGCCCCTCAAATCACCGCTGATGCGGCTGTCAGGCGAGACGGCAGCCAGAGACAAGCTGTCCTGAGTTACCAACTTTCCCTCTTGCACCCACCTGGATGCCGATAGATGGGATGGTGATGACGCCATTGGCGGCAGTGCCGCGCAGGTCGCCACTGATCCGACTATCAGGCGACACGGCAGCCAGCGACGTGCTGTCCTGCGCCACGCTCTGGTTGAGGGCGTCCAAGACAAGCACCTGCAGCCCCTCTATGCGCGCCCCCACTGCTGCCCGCACCACAAAGGTTTCCCCCCTCGCGTTCACCATGCTCGAGTCCTCCTCCCTTCCCGGCCACCTGAAGGGGAAGGGGGCCGTAGGGGGGCCGAGGGGGTTTTGAGTGAGTTCAGCAGTATGTTGTGTGGGAAAAGACAGACGGCAGCCAGAGATGTGCTGTCCTGAGCCACGCTCTGGTTGAGTGCGTCCAGCACAAGCACTTGCAGCCCCTCTATGCGCGCCCCCACTGCTGCCCGCACCACAAACGCCTCCCCCCTCGCATTGACCACACTGGAGTCCTCCTCCCTTCCCGGCCACCTGCAAAGGAAAGGTGGAGGGGGAGGGGAGGGGGCGCGGGGGAATCGGGAGGAGGGGTTTTGAGAGAAAAGGAGGTAGGAACTCTGGACTAAAAAATTGAGAGTGAATCCACACAACTGTCTCTCATACCACGGTGGACCTCACTTGAGGGAAAAGCGGTGGGCACTTCACCAACCAAAACACAGCCGCCGTCACGGCAGGCACTGAAAACCTCAGTGCAGCACCACCCATCACTCCACCTCACACCATGCAATCACTCTTCGTCAAACCACTCCCTCACTCTTTCTCACACCACCCACTCGGGCACTCACTTGGTGGAGAAGCCAGCGGGAATGGTGCCCTGGGTGTCCCCCGCCCCGCCCCTCGGAACGCACACCCCTCTCCCTCTCTCTTCTTTCTCACACCACCCTGGCACTCACTTGGTGGAGAAGCCAGCGGGAATGGTGCCCTGGGTGTCCCCCGCCCCGCCCCTCGGAACGCACACACCCCACTCCCTTACTCTCCCTCAACCGCCCCGCCCCTCGGAACGCACCATGCCCCCCTCAGGAGCACTCACTTGATGGAGAATCCAGCAGGCATGGTGCCCTGGGTGTCCCCCGCCCCTCGGAACGAACAACCCTCACACCGCGAGCGCAGGTGGCGGTGGGTGGTGGCCTCAAAGAAAGCCGCTGCCTGCCGATACAGAGCGCTGTTGCCCTCAAAACCCAACTGCCGCACTACCAGCCGCCCCGGCTGCTGCCCCTGCTGCTGCAACTGGCGCCCTCCACCTGACTTTCCACCTGAACCTCCTGCTCCAGCAGCAGTGCCTGCTGTTCCTGCTGTCCCTGCTGCTCCTGCTGTTCCCCCCTTCTCTGTGGTCCCCAGAGGCGATCGCAGCACGTACATCCCTGCACCGCCCAGCACCGCATAGTTCCCACTGAATTCGCTTCCTCCCACCCCCCCTGACGCCTGCTCTAACACAGCCACCCCCCCACCCGCCACACTCGCATTGTTCCCCTTAAAAGCACATCCCGATACATTTACTACCGCCGTCCCTACAAACGCCGCCCCTGCTCCCACCTGCGCGGAATTCCCACTGAACACCGAACCTGAGGTTAGGTCCAACCGAGCCTGCCCATCAACCGCCAATCCTCCGCCCAGCTCAGCCACGTTCCCCTCGAACCTGCTCCCCTCCACCACCGCAGCAACCCCGTCGGCCAATCGCAGCGCGCCACCTGTCCCTGCTGGGTTCCTGTTCCTGGAGAAGGTACATCTGGTGAAGCGCCCATCTGCCAACCCTTGCAGCAGCACCGCTGACACAGCATTCCCAGAAAACGCCGAATCAACCGCCGAGACATTCGCCTCGGCTTCGGCCGCGATCGCACCTCCGTGCAGCGCGTAATTCCCGGTAAAAGAACTATTCGATACAGTCACATCCGATACATGCGTCGCGTACACCACGCCCCCCATATAGTCCGCCCGGTTCCCGGAAAACACTGTGTTGTTTTCTGCTTGGAGCCTTGCTTCCATCTCCACCCACACGGCGCCTCCCCAGGGGGCAGTGTTTTGAGAGACGTTGCAGGAGAGCAGAGAGAGAGTGGCGGCGCCGCTGATTCTGGCTGCTCCTCCTTCGCTGGTGGCTCGGTTGAGGTGGAGGCGTGAGGAGGAGAGGCGGGCTGTTGCGTTGGCTAGGAGGGAGAGGCAGCCGCCCCCTGTGGATGCACTGTGGGGAGGAGAGAGGAGGGAGGCGAGAAATGGGGTAAAAAACTTACTCGCACATCCACACATGTACACACAAAACAAAGACTTACACACTCTCTCTCCTCCCCCTCACCAATTGTTCATACAGTCACAATCCGCCAACGTCACTTGTGAAAACTCCTGCACCAGAACGCCCCCTCCCGTGCCAGCACTCTCGTTCTCCTCGATTCGACTCCCCTCCATGCGCATGCCCACACTCAGCCCCGCTTGTCCCCCTCGTTCACCACCCACATACACACACGCTCTCCAACCCCCCACCTGCTCCCTACGCATACACTCTTCTCCCCCTCACCTGTTGTTCACACAGCCACAGTTCGTCATAGTCACTTTGGAAAACTCTTGTATGAGGATCCCCCCTCCCGTGCCATCACTCTCGTTCTCCTCGATTTGACTCCCCTCCATGCGCATGCCCACGCTTAGCCCTGAGTAAATAGCACCTCCCCCCAGCGCCGCCCTGTTGCCCTGGAAGGTGCATCTGGTGAAGGCCACTGTAGCGGGTTTGCCCTCTGACTCTGCTCCATAGGCTGTGAGAGGGAGTGGGAGTGGGAGTGGGAGTGGGAGTGGGAGTGGGAGTGGGAGTGGGAGTGGGAGTGGGAGTGGGAGTGGGAGTGGCAGGGGGAATGAGGGGGTTGAGTTGAGGCACGTTAACAACCCGTTGCCCCGGAAGGTGCATCTGGTGAAGGCCACTGTAGCCGGCTTGCCCTCGGATTCCGCCCCATAGGCTGTGAGAGGAATCAGAGGAGGAGAAGGAGGGAAGGGGAGTGGGGGGTGTGGGTTGCATTGAGGCGTTCATCAACCAGTTTTCTAATCCACCCTGTTGCCCTGGAAGGGAAGGTGCATCTGGTGAAGGTCACAGTTGCAGTTGCCCGGACGCACACGGGCAAAGCTCACCCTGGTGATCCCCCAGTGGTCAGGGGCAGCTTGGTGGCCCCTAGTGCAACCAGCTCCCCAAACATGGGCTATAGGAATCATTAGCCACCTCTGCCTTGCAAACGGGAGTCAGTGCCTCCAACCGGGCACACACACTGCTGCATTCTCAGGCACTAGATTTCCCAACAGTCCTATTATTTCATTGTCTATTGACTTTACATTGTAACATATATATCTTCCATGTATGGCAGAGATATTATCCAACCTTCAAAAGCAACTCCTCTCGGTAATCAGCCAAGTACGAGCTCCTTGCTTGCCACCCCAACCCTACCTGTGACGGCCCCGCCCTGCAGGCCAGCTTCATTTCCCATGAAGAGCACGTCAGTGAATCGCATCTCTGTGCTCTCACTGTAGATAGCACCTCCCCGGGATAGCCCCGCCCTGTTGCCCTCAAACCGGCTGCTCGATATGTCCACAGGGGACATGCCCTGAGGAGGGGGGAGGAAGAATAGGAGAGGGGGAGGAGAGGGGAGGAGATGAAAAGAGAGACGGGAGGAGAGGAGAAGGAGATGGGAGGTTTTCTAACGAGACTAATTTGTCTTATGCGGCCGGGTCTCTCTATGCAAGCAAGCAGGCTTCCTATGCGGGCGGGAGTCCAGACCAGAGACGTCGAGCTTTGTGCACCCCCAGAGCAGATGATTCGCTCCAGTCCAGAGCAGAGCGAAAGAAAGAGTGGCCTATTGGAGTCGCAGTGGGTAGATGTTGAGGGCGCTGCCTTGAGCGGAGAGCACCGAGTTGTTGTGGAAGGAGCAGTTGGTGCCGGTGAGCGGACCGTACGGCATGAAGTGGTTAGAGCACAGGTAACCACAGGGGACGGGCGCCCTGCCTTGGGGTACTAATTAGACTCGTACCGGGTATATGTTGATTGCACCGCCTTGAGCCAGCAGCACGGAGTTGTTGGAGAAGGAGCAGTTGGTGATGGTGAGCAGACCGTACGGCATGAGGAGTGGAGAGGGGTGGAGAGGACTGGAGAGGAAAGGAATGGAGTGGACTCATACCGGGTAGGTAGACGTTGATTGCACCGCCTTGGGCGAGTAGCACCGAGTTGTTGGAGAAGGAGCAGTTGGTGACGGTGAGCGGGCCGTACGGCATGAAGAGTGGAGACGGAAATAGTGGAGTGGAGAGGAGTGGAGAGGAGTGGAGAGGAGTGGAGTGGAGACGGAAGGAGGGGAATGGACTCATACCGGATAGATGTTGATTGCACCGCCTTGGGCGAGTAACACGGAGTTGTTGGAGAAGGAGCAGTTGGTGACGGTGAGCGGACCGTACGGCATGAAGTGCAGCGCCCCTGCCTGGCTGGCCGCCCTGTTGCCGTGAAACGTGCAGTTGGTGAGCGCGGTGGTGGCGCGGGAGACCACTGTTGAATGGGGGACAACAACAGTGAGTGGGGAACGCGGGGAAGAGTGGAGACCACAGAGTGCACTGGTGAAGGCCTGAGTGTGACTTTTAGGTCGAATTATGACTTTTAGGTGAAGGCCTAAGTCACCTCGTCACAATGGCACATGACATATTTTCTTCAAGGAGCGCAGGGAAGAGTGGAGACGACAGAGTGCATTGGTGAGGGCATGTCCGTGCGTGCATGAGATGAGACAAAGAGAGGGTGACATGTGCAAGGCCCCGAAAGAGGAGGGAGGCAAAGTGATCAGTGCAGTGCGGTGCGGTGCGGTGCGGTGCGACTCACTAGCTCCGCCGATCTTGGAATTCCCGTGGTCGCCGTTCTCTATAAAGGAGCAATTCGTTACAGTCACGTTGCCCGCATCCAGATACACTGCTGCCCCCTGCCCTGCCTGTTTGGGTTCGGGTGAGGATGGGGCGATAGGAAAGGAGCACAGGGTGCAGAGAGGAAGGCAGGGGTTAGAAAGAAAGACGTTGCCCGCGTCCTGATACTTTGCAGCCCCCTGCCCCGCCTGTTGGGGTGAGAGGAAGGCAGGGGTGATGGGGCGAGGGGGAAAGGAGGAACACAGCGTGCAGAGAGGACGGCAGGGGTTAGGAGGAAAGACAGTGCCTGCATTCAGATACACTGCAGCCCCTGCCCCTCCTGTTGGGGTGAGGATGGGGCGATGGGGCAGAAGAAGACGGGGTGAAAGAGGAAAGGAACAGTAAAGGGGAAGGAAGGTGACGAGGAGGTGGAGTGGAGGTCGAATCAGCGATGGTAATCGGGAGCAAAGGGTCCATGAATGCAAACACCATCAGCGCTGCTCGCTGTGACAGGTACATGGCTGCAGCACTGCCGTTGCCTCTCAAGACGTCTCACACACCGTGCTTGTGTGACCCATCGTATTGGAACGATGACCAGGTGATGCAGATGGAACAAGGGTGAGGGGAGACCGGGGAGAGGACCCACCCCAGCAGCCCACCCAACCACCCACCGAGTTGTTTCTGAACATGGAATCAGCGATGGTAACCGGGAACAAGGGGTCCATGAATGCAAAGACCATCAGTGCTGCTCCCTGCGACAGGTACGTGGATGATGCACTGCCATCTCCCCCTCAAGAGGACTCACCCACCTTTGAGAACGCATGGAGCTGGAACGACGAACCGGCGACAAAGATGGGACGAGGTGGAGGGGAGTGATGGGAGAAGACCCACCCACCCAGCAGCCCAACCAACCCAACCCAGCCACCCACCGAGTTGTTTTTGAAGGTCGAAGCAGTAATGGTGATGGGAAAGAGTGGGTCCATGAACGCAAAGACCATCAGAGGGGAGCGGACCCAGCCATCCACCCACTTACCGTGTTGTTCTTGAAGGTTGAATCAGCGATGGTGACGGGAAAGAGGGGGTCCATGAATGCAAAGACCATCAGCGCCGTGCCCTGCGACAGGTACGTGGCGGCCAGACTACCGTCGCCTCTCAAAACAGCTCACTGTAACTCACCGTTTAACCCACCCACAGCGCTGGAACGACGACCGCGTGAAGCAGACGGGACGAAGACCCACCCACCCATCCACAGATGGGAGGGGAGAGAGGGGAGAAGACCCACCCACCCGTCCACTAGCCCACCACACCACCCACTTACCAAGTTGTTTCTGAAGGTGGAATCAGAAATGGTGATGGGAAAGAGGGGGTCCATGAATGCAAAGACCATCAGAGCCGCTCCCTGCGACAGGTACGTGGCGGACGCGCTGCCGTCGCCCCCCAAGACAAC